TAGAATAGAATAGAATAGAATAGAATAGAATAGAATAGAATAGAATAGAATGAATTCTTTATTTGGCCAAGTCCCTTCTAGCACTGGTGATGTAACAGTCAGACTGTTGATCCATCTAATTCACTAAGCCCATGTGGATGGTTCATTTTTTCCACTGTTGTTTCTTGCTCAACATGCTTGCATTGTTGTCTTCTTGGTTTTCTTTCAGGTTATCGCCATGTTCCATTGGTCTCCAAACTTGGAGTTACCCTCAAGCCTGCCTCCCTGTTTGTCTACATATGGTACTTTCAACAGTAATGCATCGCCCGCTCTTCCATCTGTGTGTTTTATTAAAGCAACCATGGTCCAAACAGGTGATATGTTCTACTTTCTAATAGAAGAACTAAATGTTTATAGTACCCGAAGCTCTATGTAATAGGCATTAGGTCTAAGGAATAGGCATTCTGGCACATATTTGGTGTGTATGTGTGTGTGTGTGTGTGTGTTCAATTGTTGTGGAAGAAAAGCTTTATGGATGGATGGATGGATGGATGGATAGACAGATAGACAAACAAATACGTTTAAGAAAATCGGCAGTGAGCAAACACATTCATTATTTTTCTGAATCATAAATTCTTCAGGAAGACAATTTATCAAATGGCTGAATAGCCATCACATTAAATCAGAATAAAAGGCTCAACTTCAAAAGACACACTCATTTAAAACTCACTTAACAACTCTTGCTTATCAACAAAAAAATCAGGCTCACTTGTAGTCCTAAGCCGAAGACCTGTACAGAGTCATAGAATCAGAGTTAGAATTGGGTGTTTAGCCCATGTTGCTTAGCACAAGAATCTAAATGAAGTTAGCCCTGAAAGATTTTCTTTGGTATCTAAAAATTTCCAGCAAAGCAGAAGTCCATCACTTCTCCATCTCACTGGTTCCATTAGCAAAGAGTTCTTAACTTTAGGAGGATTTCTTTTAGATTTTGCTAGAATCTGATTAGCCAAAACAGATTTCATGCCCTGAATTTCAGATGTTCTCTGCCATCCTATTAGGGGACAAAAAATAATAATCAAATGCCAATGGCAAGATTGACAAAACCAGGAAGCAGTTAAGCATACCTCTGCTACATGTCCATCCTAAATTGCCTACTACTGAAGATGTTTCAGTGATTAAAAAACCAGGACTGGAACAGAGTTAAGCACATTAGCCTGTAATGTGTACTTAGCCCTTTTACCTCCGCAGCAATTGCAGACTGCAAAATAAATAGATTGGCCTTTTATGCCCCTGTGCTAATGGGGACATTTGCACATAGAGGGTACTCGTTGCATGTAGATAACTAAATGACAATGGACCATGAAAAAGCCATTATAATTTCCCCACGATTAGCAACTTGTTATGTGCAGCTAGCAACCTCCCGTATGTACCTACTCTCCAAGGCAAATGCTTTGGTTAATGTGGCAGAAGAGCTCCGTCCAGGAAATAAGGGGGAGGGGACCACATCCTAATGAACAAATAATTCAATTGCCTCTGACAATGTTCAAATTACGTCCTTCTCCAGTGGGGAAGCATTTTCCTGTGTTCAGCTGGATGTTGCTTTGTTGAGCAATCAGCATCATCACAATTCTGTGAAAAACGACCTGCTGATTTTTCATAGTCAGAGGCATTCTTGGAATTATGGACTGCAGCACATATAGCTTGCTAAACCTGAATTGCAATATAGGCAGAAAGAAAAATAATAATACTGTTAACAGGAGATTTAACGTTACGATAGATGAAGAAAATCAACATGTCTAGTGAGGTTTCCAGCTATTTATATTCCTACCAAGAATTGCGCACAGGTTAAGGCGCCAACTTTTCATCACCATCATGGAGCACAGAAGATTAAAAACGTTGGGTGAATCAAAGCTCAGAACCACCTTTATGCCTTCAGTTGTGGACCACAAAGTCTGATTTGCCTTAATGAACAAAGCAGTATTGATGTGGTGCTTTTTGCTCTATGCAGTCCTTGTTCTGTTTAGAACCATAATTGCTATCAGTCATAGCATTGATCTGGGTGGCAATGGGAGACAAGGCTACATTCTGCACCAAAAGGACCACTGGTTTGAAAGAGGTCATCTACATCGGGCCGCCAATCTTTTGGACCTCAAGGACCACCAAACTTATAATTTTAGATCCCAGGGACCACTAACCGGTTCTATGGGCATGGCCTAATTTGTGGGTATGGCTTGGTGGTCATGTGACTGGCTGGGCATGGCTTGTATGTAAATATTATAAATATTTATATAAATATTGATTATTTTTTAAAAAAAGAGTAACTTTTACCCAAAATCAAGCAAAGCAGGCAGATTGAGTTGCTCTATCTACCTGCCATTGGCTAGCTCTGTCTGTAACATAAAATTTGCTTCCAAGCAAAATCACAAAATTAACTCACAACACACCATGCATGTAAATATTGAATTTTTTATTTCAAAAAAGAGCAAATTTTACCCAAAATCAGGCAAAGCAGGCAGATTGAGTTGCTCACAGAATCATTCAGTGATCTATCTGCCATCGGCTAGCTCAGTCTCTCAAATTTGCTTGCCGTGAGTCTGCACTGAATTTGCTTGCAAGCAAACCTTCAGTCCCAAGGGAGGTTTGGATGTGCTGAGCCGAAGATCTAAAGACTAGCTAGAAAGCAAGAAATCCAACCATTTCCTGCTTCCTAGCTAATCTAAATCTCCGGGCACAGCAGAACAGATGATGGTCGGAAAAAGGAAAAATAGCAATTTAGCAGGCAAGTTTACTACTGGATAAGGAGTGAGTGGGCGGGGAGGGTTCCCGCGGGCCATGTGGGCGGCGCAGCCTTGTGTTTCTGCGCAGCCTGGATTAATTGCTTTGTGGGGGTGCTCTGGGGGTGAGATATCTCTGCGGCCCACCAAAATTTTCTCACGGCCCACCAGTTGACGACCGCTGATCTACATTAAGGTTGTACAGTCCTCTTTCAACAGAGGGGGAGGGATAGGACATCACCTATCTCCTGTTTACAACATAGTCCTTTCAGCAGTTCCAAGAAGGTTCCACACGCATTTGCACTATTCAGGTGACCCTGAGGGCACAGTTAAAGCTTCAAGTGGCCTCAACGACTCTCTAAAAGAATGCAAATGAACATCTGTCAGCAAGGAATATAAATCCTTCCATCCTCCGCCATTCAGTCAGAAATGTAGAAGCTTCTTGGATGAGAAGCAAAACATCTCCAAGAAAAAGTTTTTCAAAAGTTGCCTGTGGGATCTGGATGACTGAGAATCTCCATAGACAATGGGAGAAACCTTAAATAATTATTGACAAGTTTCTGGAGTAACCATTGAACAGACAGCACTGGACACAGGGGTGGGCCGCTACCGGTTCCCCCTGAACCGGGGTGAACCGGTAGCTAATTTTATCATTTTTAATGGCCGATTTGGTGAACCCACCCATGGCTGGCCCC